GTCTAGTGAAATAAAAAGTTAATGTTGAACCCTGTTACTGTACTTCGATCCATTAGCAGAGGGGGTACAGGGGTTGGTGTTACGGTGTTAGCTTACATGGGGGCGGAAGACGATGTACATGTGGGCGGGAGACGGTCTGTACATACACGGTAAAAATTTTTATTAATTTGTTATGAGTTTTCCTTTATTTTACAAAAGTGCCTTGGTGCCCTTCTCAAATTGTGAGAGTTGCCTTGATGCCTTTTAAAATTGCCTCGATGCCCATCCATTTTAGAGAAAATTCAAGGCAATTTCTCACATGCCCCCAAAAAATTGCCTTGCCCCTCTCGTCGCTTCATTCGAGGCCTGATCTTGACAAAATATGATTTATCCCATGTCTGGTAATGCATCAATCAAGAACATACTGTTCTCATCTCCATGTACGGTGAAGCTTCAGGGGCATCCACAAATCTCATAACGTCAATAAAGACTACTACTATAATAATAATGTATACCGTAACCCTGAGTGAATTTTTTAAGTTGGTATATCGACATAGTATACCCGAAGGGCTGTAGCAGAGTTCCCACATAGTGGCACGAGCTGGTGTCCGTGGCCCTGCTATAATTTACGCAATTTCCTGAAAAATGTACTGGTGAGCACAAACCTTAACTATACTACGATCGTGATACGAGTTCGCGCCTACGTGCATACCTGCTCGCATTTGTGCTGCTCGTCAGTGCAGCAGTGCTTGATGCACTTGTGCCGGCCACAGTCAAGCTTCTTCTTACATCGCTTGTTGCAGAGCAGCCGCTTCTCCCCCACGAGCACCGCCAGCTCTCGGCACGGCACCTCCTTCTCCAGCGCCCCGCAGTGGCAACGCACCGAGGTGCTCTTGTCGCATGCCGCGCACGCCCCCTCGTGGCAGGCGGCCCCGCACCGGTGGCGCTTCCCCTCGGGGCCGCACAGCAGTGGCTTCCCGCACACCTGCCCACAGGTTGCCACCGCGTCGAGGCAGCTCGTGCGTGCCGGTGCCTCGAGCTCCACTAGGGGGCGCTGCCCACACGGACAGCGCGTCTGATTGGCCGGCGTCAGCGTGCAGTCGTCGCACGCGCCGGGGTGGCACGCGCGTTCGCATGTGTGGTTGCCGCACGCGAGGTCGCGTCCGCACGTCTGCCCGCAGGCGAAGGGTGCTGGCTCTCCCGTCGCGGCGTCGGTCGGCTGCGAGCCGCAGCGCACGTCACGTGTCGTCGCGCCGCAGTGGCACGCCTGCCGTCGCGTCTCGGCGCACGGCTCGCATGGAGGCGCGTGGCACGCGGCCACGCACGCGTGCACGACGCAGTCCAGCGTGCATCCGCACGCCTCCTCGCAGCGCACGTCCACCTGCTGGCCGCAGCGCGTCGTCTGCGTCCGCTTGCCGCAGAGGCAGGATTTCGTCACAACAGCGCCGCACGGAGGGCAGGGCCCCGGGTGACAGAGGATGCCGCACGGGTGTGGGCAGCCGCCGCCGCGCCGCTTGCTGCACGGCTCGCCGCACGTGTGCGGCGCGTCGCGGCGGTTCCACACGGGCTCCGTCGCGCGGCCGCAGAAGCAGCGGTAGACGGACGGCACCGCCTCGCTCGTGTTCTGGCACGCGGGGCAGCGCCAGCCGCTGACTCCCGAGCTGCCGGACGCAGCCGACTGCGCCCAGCGACGCACGCACCGCAGGTGGAAGACGTGGTAGCACTCGGCGCAGCTCCAGATGGCCGCCGACTGCCACACGCGCTCGCAGCACACCATGCACTCGTACGTGCCACGCGTCAGCTGCTCGGTGAGCATCCCCATCTGGGAGGGGTCGTCGCGCGCTGCGTCGTCGCTGGTAGACGGTGGCGCATCGGGTGACGTCTGAGTGTTGAGCCTCGCATCTTGGCTCCTGTTTCTGGGCGCTACGCCCCTCGGCGTCCAAATCTTGTTGTCGTGCGATTCGTCACCCAGCTCCAATGCACGCAGCAACCTGCCTCGATCGCCACTACTTTTACCTGCAGGGCGAACATCTATTGATCTATCTTGGCGGAATCTCTCCTGGTTTCTTCCGACCTTCTCATACTGGTGTCTCCTTTCCTGGTAAGTCTTTTCGTGTGCATATCCCCTGTCTTGGGTGAAGCGAGTTTCCCCTTGCTTTTGTCGAGCACCTCCTCTGCTGGCTTCTCGTTGCTTCTCTGCTGAAGATGCAAATTTATTTTTCCCAACACTATTACCCCTCTCCTGAAATGATTGAAATGCACCATTTCTCTGGTGGGTGTCGGTCTTACGAATTGCATCTTTGTCTGGTCTTGTCGTCCGTGACTTCTCTCTACTTTTGGTTTTCTCTTTAATGCATGCCTCTTCGGCTTTGTCAGGTGCGGTGTTCTTGGTAGTAGCATAGTTCTCGTCAAGCAGATCGCTGTTCATATAATCAAGAAAGGACTGCCTCTCTGTATGAGTATAACCCGAAACGCCATCGTCTATCTGCAGGGCAGCAACAGCTTCGGTCGTGTCTCTCTCGTTAGCAGGTGTGGCATCTTCTCTCGACCTTGCTGACTGGTGGTTTCGCCTCTGGTCACTGTGGCCGCCTCTGCTCTGTTGATGCTGTCCCTGACCTCTTCTGCCATGGTGGCTCAACCCTCCTCTCTTCTGTTGCTGCAGCCTCCCACGTTGTCTTTGATTCCCCCTGTAGCTACTGGAATCACCTTGGTGAGACTGATATTCCGGTGTATATGGATAGTACTGGCTAGTATCATAGCTTCCACTGTGATGAGCCTGATGATCTTGTTCCCATCCCTGTCGACTTCTCACATCACTGTCATAATTCTGGTAGCCAACGTACTGCTGGGGTACTTCACTCTGGTTAGCGGGGTGCTGGGCATAAAACACCGGCCCCTGAGGCTGATATTGGTTTTTGTGTACAAAATAATTTCCACTTTCTTGTTGAAACCCCTGAGTCGTGTAGTCAGCAGCAAGGTATGCCCCCTTATTAATATTGTCCTGCATTGGCACGCTATTTGGGCCTAGGTGGCGCTACTTTCAAAGTAAATTTTATGTGCGTTGGTGTATACCATTTGGTACGATGAAACGCCCGGGGAAAATTGTAGGTAAGTACAGTAATTCCTTGGGATTATCACAAGTTTTGCTGTTTCGTTTTCTATCTGAAACATAACATTACATACGTTATTATAATATAATAATAATAACAATAAAAAAAATATTGCTAACGTCTAAGTATCAACAACATGTAAATTAAAACAATTACAGTTATTACTAAAACTAGTAAAAGCGTAGCTCCAAGAAACGGTCTTTGCTAGGGTTAGAAGACCTAGTGTATATTGACGTTAGTCACACAGCCTGGTTGGGTTAGTAAAGCTCATAGGGTCTATGTCCCCTAGGGTACTGCCGGAACTAGCTCTAGTACTATAGCCCGCGTTCATTAACTGCCGCAGGGCTATAGAACATTGTCAGCTAGATTTCACAACTGCAACCTGTCACCACCTGTCCTCACAAAAAATGGATCGCAAAACGCAAAATTATCGGGCTTTTTAACACTTATTTATCTACATGGACATCTTTTTGAACACTTTCCACAACTTTACACCATGTATTTATCCTTTTATTACTCAAAGTCAGCACTACTGGCAATCCCGTTTTGAAATATTCTGGCGTGCGAATGCGTGACGTCATCGGTATTGTATATATACATGCACCATAGCTGCCATGTGTTTTGCCTACATATCCGGTGCATGTATATATATACAATACCGGTGACGTCACGCGTTCGCACGCCAGAATATTTCAAAACGGGATTGCCAGTAGTGCTGACTTTGAGTAATAAAAGGATAAATACATGGTGTAAAGTTGTGGAAAGTGTTCAAAAAGATAGGTGAGATGTCGATGTAGATAAATAAGTGTTAAAAAGCACGATAATTTTGCGTTTTGCGATCCATTTTTCGTGGGGACAGGTGGTGACAGGTTGCAGTTGCAAAATCTAGCTGACAATGTTCTATAGCCCTGCGGCAGTTAATGAACGCGGGCTATAGTACTAGAGGCAGAGCTATGCCGGAACGTACACTGGGTACGTTAACGTACCCTGGTAACTGATATGATTAGGGTAGCTCTAGTACTATAGGCCGCTTACCATTAACTGCGCCGCTATAGCATCAAACCATACGAATGCTTCGGACCAAATCAACTTACTCCAGCCATCAGCGGAACATATTGTTTGTCCGCATGTGGAGGGTGGAGCGGCTTGTGTTGGTTGACAAAAACATTGTGTTGTCACACGTAAACAAATTAATAATAGTAAACTTGTCATCTTCCATGACAAAACTAATATGTACAATCCTCTTTATCGCTTAATTGTTGTTACTTGACAACAACACAGTTTTTTCACAACCACCCAACCGCGCCACCCCCCTCCACACCGAAATACATAGTTCCCAGCGACTGCGCTGCTGCAGCGCCGCCAAATGCCGTTGAAGCGGCAAAATCGAATGTTTTGTCCTAAGAAAATACCTGTCAAGTTACCATTGCAACGAGTATTTAAGAGGTTCAATTTTAAGTAAGCGGCTATAACTTAAGACATATTCACTTCGGATAAGAGGCATTAATTGCCTACCACAGACGTTTTATAGTCGGGTATAATCGAGGATAAGTTGGTCCATCGCATGCCCCATGGGTCGGTCTATAGCCCAGCGGCAGTTAATGTAAGCGGCTATAGTACTAGAGCTAGATTAGGGTTAGACCGTTAATGGCGTTAGGGTTAGGGTTAGGGTTAGGGAGAAGGCGTAGGCGACTCCCTAGCCACAAGTTCCCATCTCGCTTAACACTACGTGGCGAGAGGGTCACAAACCGACGCATTAGAAATATGTTCGGTAGTATGTGCGCTGCTATTTAACGTTAAATTATCGACTCGTTAGTGGAGTAGCTAGGCGAGGTACGGTCCGGCATATTAGATAGTACCAGGGTACGTTCCGGCAGTACCCTGGGGGACATAGACCCTCTCAGCGTTAGTAAAAGCGTAGGCCTAGTCATGATTTAGTCATTACATCATGTACCCAGATTTGAAGTTTGACCTAAAAGTAAAGCAAAGCAAAGCATGCGTAGATTGAAGACAAGTAAATTGTACCGCCAACTCTACCTGTCTTCCTCTTTCTGTCTGTTGGTTTAATAAACTAGCAGCGAACTCCAATCTTGCTTGAAAACGCATACAATTTTAATTCGAGATTAGCACGACAAACTACACAAGCAAAAAATTTCGACAAGCTTCTTGCAAACAGTTGAGTTGTGCAACTTTACAGGTGGCGCTAACAGCGAGTCGACAGGTCGATAGGCGTGTCGTAACAAGAGTGACAGCAGTAAGGTCACGCCTATCAGCTGGAACGTATGTACAGTATTCAGAAGTAAACGCGGCGCACCGACAATGAATATCACACGGAAAAGTATGTAAATGCGAAACTAAATTACTCAAAGATTTTCCTTGTTCGACATTAATTTATAATAGTAGGCGTAGTTATACATTGAGGTATTTTAGGAGGAGCAATTATTAGTCAAAATCAACTTTACAACTAGTACTAGGAGTAATTGACATGATAGTTGATACTTGTAGTTGTAAATTGTTATGGTTCCGTGACTAGTCATACTCTCGAACAGGAATTGGGGCAAAGACCCGTTGACGTGGTCATTCCCGTGGGTGGGACTACCTACAGTCTTGTTTGAATGAAACTGTTGGAGGTTAGGGGGTTAGGCTAAGTGTTGGTCAGAGATAGGTTTGTGATGATTTATGTATCGCCTTCCCAAATCAAAGTAGTAAAAGTAAAACTAAAACTTAAAAGCTAGTTAATTACTTGACGCTTGAACTGCAATCTCACAATAATGTGTTGCAGGCTACAGCACAACTTACTGGTAGTAATATTGCACATTTGTATTGTCAGTGTATAAATATTACTATAAATTACCAATGTACTAGGAGCAGTGGCGTAGATAGGATTTTTTCAGCGGGGCACGAGACGCGGCGGCGCACTGAGGGGCCTTACATTTTCTTCGGGGGGGGGGGGGCGCGTGGACAATATATAATTTTATTGAGATGTGGTTCGAACCTTCTTTCATTGTATTATACTGTTCTAACAGCATTATTTTTTATTCAAATTTTTTTTTATCAAGCATGAATTTTCAGTGGGGGGGTAGCACCTGGGGGTCACAGAAAATTTGTGGGGGGGCACGTGCCCCCCAGGCCCCCCGTAGCTACGCCCCTGACTAGGAGCTAGTCTAGGAATATTTTCAGTAATATTTAGTTTCTGTGATATTTGGCTAGTTTATTTTACTTTGCCGGATTTTCTATACGAGTTATAATGTGTGATTTTGAATTTCAATAGATTTTAAAGAAACCTTTCCTCTTATCGTTGAAAGTATAAATGAAGCCGACTTCTTAGCAATTGATGGTGAATTCACAGGTAAGTGTATAATATTCGTTTGACACTGGGTCAGGGTTCTCCAAGAGCACTTATAGCCTGGCGGCGCGCCAGGCTATCGTCGAGCCTCGCCATCCTAAAATGCACCTGCCACCCTAAAATGCACCTGCCACTCTAAATATCATAGCCCCCGGACTCCCGTAGCATGCAAACCGCCTTCAGGAGTAAGGACCGTAAAGGCAGCACCCGCCATGCTATAATGAAAAAGCTTGGAGAACCCTGTAGGTATATACTATATAGATTCCATTATATACTTGAGCCATTTAATTTTTGTTTATGTATAATGGTATATATATTTATTTTCCTTAATTTCTACTTGTTGCTCCAAGGGTGCAGTACAAAAATATCAGAGTGGAAGTGTGATTCTATGTTTTTATATGTTCTTTATTCTTATTATTTAAGTTGCTGTTTTTTATTTCTAATCCTAGAAGGGGGTGGAACCAGTTAGGTTGGGCTGAAATTAATCATAGAATGTTATGTTTTAGTGTTGGTCTTTTGATTAGATGTAGGTTCTGGTAGTCTCTTGCACATCTAGGTTATTATTATTTTAAGGTGTTAACCTGAATTGTAACTTTTGAGTGGAATAATTTTTCTCTATCTATATAGGTTTGACCAATGGACGTAAATCACATTCATTTGATACACCAGAGGAGCGCTATCACAAACTTAAAGAGGCAAGTGTATTACTGTGATAGTTCAGTCATACTATCTGTTATATATATATATGTGCAATTATTTTGTTTTTTGTCATATTAGTTTATTATTGTGCTATGTTGTGGTTTATGCAACAATGTGTACGATCTCATGAGTTTATAATAGATGTTAAGTAAGTGATCACACTATTAGTCTTATATGTTTTATTTGAAACTTATATACTAAACCACCAACAAAATACATGACTTACTACATGGTGTTTGTCAAAGAGAGTTGGAGTGTGAAAAGGGGGTGATCAAGTGATCGATTTGATGAGATCGAGACGCGGTAGAAAAATAATAATAAAGTTTTACGTATTGCATTTTTAATAGGGAACATGCGATTTTCTACTCGTTCAGTTTGGATTGTGTACTTTCACGTACAAGCATGAGGAGAAAAAGTAAGAAGCTTTGGATTAAATCAGATAAAATCTATGGTACCATTTATTGCCTATGTTTACTGTCATTGATACCACACTCTTCTACTCTAAAGGTTGTAGTGATCGTGATTTTACTAAAATTGTATCAGTACATATTGTTATATGCATTCAGTGTAATATATATACATTCACAATTTTTTGTTTACTGTGCATAATTATGCTACTAATGCTGAGGTTACTAATGTTGCAGATACATATCTAAAGCATACAACTTCTACATTTTCCCAACACCACTAAACAGGCAAGCGAGTGATGTGAGGTTTTTGTGTCAGGTGAGCGCTGCACAACCTAATTATTTATAACTGAGGTAGTAACTGCAGCTCTGGAGAGAAATGGATACTTGATTAGCAGGCAGTGAACACATGCACTTCAGCAGTTCTTTATAGTTTTCACCGATGTAAGACATGGGGAAATTAGGAAAGGCAATGTCAGAACAGAATATAATCAGGGAAATCTTAGTTGTTGGATTTATACCGGGGATACTAAATGTCGGCGTGATGTGTACAGGCGTATTTGTAAGAAACGTTTTGAGGATAGGTAGTTAATCCTGCTTTGTGCAATGAGATGTGGCAATAGCTATTAATCAGGTGATAATGCCACAAGTGTTATATAAGTGTGTTTGTGTATGTGTAGGAAAATAGCTAAGAAAATGTATAAATTTCTTTATAGGCTTCAAGTTTAGATTTCCTGGCTCGCCAGAGTTTTGATTTCAATAAAGTCTTCTACGAAGGTATCAAGAAGGCAATGCTAGCTTAAGTGCTTGTAATTTGACAAATGTAAACATTTGCCATGTATGAACTATTTGTTAATACGAATGGAAAGCTTCTCTGAGGGTATGGTTCAAATTTGCTGTAATGAATCTGTCATTTATTATTCTACAAAGGGAATTTGGTTAAAAGTTATTTTTCATAAGTTTCTCAAAGTGGTAAATTTATGTTGAACTGTTATGCAGTGTGGCTTAATGACAAGTGGCTTGATAGCTTCATTATGCAGTGTTCCATGGTAAGCAGCGTACACGACTAATGTCGGTGGTATGTGCAGGTATTCCCTATCTGAACCCGGCAGAGGAGCAGAGCCTGTCGGACGCCTTACAGGAACGGCACAACCAGAGCATGAACAATGAGCTGACCTATGTGAGCCCTTCATATGAGTCGCCAGCTTTCAAGGGTCCTTTGGTTATCCCAGAAGAGCACAAGTCATTCATTGCTGACATCTGGTACTTTTCTGTCTTACAACAACATCATATAGCTTATTAAAGGTTGAAAGGGTAGAATTAGCATTATTTAGTAGCACACGGACAATCATCAATAAGTAGATTTGATAAAGGCAATGCATAGACCTGTGAAGTATTTGCGAAGTACGTGCATAAAATTTATTAAGAGCTTATGTGTATGCACGTGTTTATGTGTTAGTGGCACTTCTGCAACTATTCCATGGATAAGTAATTTTATAAATATAAATATCAGAGAAGTAAAAGTGGTATGCTTAAAGTGCTTATTTATCCTTTAGAATCTTAAACTCTGCATTTTGTTACTTGTGTTGGTGTGTGTTACATCATTTTACATATAGTGAAATGTTCACATGACTAGCTATTGTAGGAAGCTGATGGTGCTAACTGCTAACCCAGATTTTGTTTTCATTTCTTCCAGCAAGAAGATCGAAACTTTTCTAAAGGATGAGCAAGAAACTAGCTTGCAGTTGCCAGTATGCACAGCCTACCAGAGGAAGCTCATCTATGAGGCTGCTAGGAAAAGGTTTGTACCCTTCTGACAAAGTGCATTCATTAATGTATTTTAGAGTATTAGCTAGAAAGCCGTCTCGCCGTCTTTTTGAAAGCTTATTTTCATATGATATGTTCTGTACGATATGGTCAGTTTCACTGACGATAGCTAATGACGGCCATGCACTTATTTCAGTGAATAAATTTATGATAGGCAACAATTTTTTTATTCGTAAACGCCTTATTTTATTAAAAGAACTACTTTCCAATTCCTCCCTAGCAGGCAAGTACATATGGCACTTGTTTTGCTAGGAAACTAATGTTCCAATTATTCGAGACTCATATTTTATCAATCTTAGCTAATACTCTCGGTCATCTGGAATGGATATCGACCTGTGTTTGGGAAATTCTTAGATAAAAATCTTCATTTTGTAAGCATAGTAATTGTAGTCAATGTGTAATTGATTATGGGAAATGGCAGGCTTTCTGCAAAGCTCTAACAACTCTGATGTAGATTCAAGATGGGCATTCAGCTTGACACACAGACTGCTGAAAATCGCGATCGGTTTATTGTCGTGAAAAAGGCATCGGAGGAGGAGAAGAAACTGGTTGAACAAAAGAAAAGAGAAGCTGACTGGGTTAGTAGCTGTTACATTAGTAGACAAAATCTTGCAATTATTTGAACACGTATTAAAGGACAACAGAGGTCAGGTGCGTTTCTCTGTGAACATTAATTAAGATGTATTGGTAGTTTATTGCCATATCAATCTTTCAGGAAGAACTGAAGGATGCTGTTGGCTTCTCAAATGTCATTCGTGAGATTACACGTTCAGGAAAACTGGTAGTTGGCCACAATATGATGTTAGACTTAATGCACGTCTTACACCAGTTTGCTAGCCCCCTGCCTGAGGTAAGATGCTCGATGTGTAAATTGTATGTAATTCTTTCCAGCAATTTCACTACCTAGAATAGTGCTGAAACTATTTCACTTTCAGAGTCGCAGTATGCGTGTTAGTGTGTAGTGCACAGGCTATAAATTAATACAAACGGAGTGTAGTTTTTCCACTGTTACAGTTATTATGATATTGGTTATATATATTTGTTTGGAGCATAAAAGAGTGGTCATTAGCTGCTTATAGTAACTTTATGTGTACGTTTATGAGAGAATGCTACATCAGATTTCATATCATTTACATTGACAGTAAAGATAAAGTAAACAAAGGCTCGATCTCTGGATGTAATGTGGGAAGCTAATGTGCATGTGTTCTAGGATTATGAGGAGTTCAAGTCACTGGCTCACTGCGTATTTCCACGCATCTGTGATACGAAGCTGATGTCAAGTACAAATCCATTCAAGGTCAATATTCCTATGACAGATCTTGGCAATCTCACGAAGATACTAGAGAGAGCGCCATTTGCCAAGCCGAACATAGGTACGACGTCTGTCTAGTTGTGAGTGCATGTGCTGTGTGTTGTGTGCGCACATGCATTTCCGTGTGTAACTGTGTGTACATTTGTGCGTGTTATTGTCAGGTAAAGATAAGAGGGCTGATTTATGTGCAACTGGGCAAATATACGTGCATCTTCCGAGTCAATGAAGCTGCATCAGTAGATAGCTCGTTAAGGTCGACGTGCATAGAGTTATCCTCTATAATAATAAGAATAACTGTGTAGTGCCCGTTGCATGCAGCACTAGTAGTCTGCTGTGTCGTTGCAGAGTTTGCGGCGGAGGAGCACAGCTACAGCACAGTTGCGAATCAGCTGCACGAAGCAGGGTACGACGCCTACATAACTGGACTCTGCTTCATATCGATGGCCAACTTCCTAGGTATGATACTTTTGCGCTGCCAGCCGGGCACTGTCCACTCCCCACCAACTGGAGAAAAAAGTTCAATAAATTGCAGGGAAATATGCTGCTGACATGTCATAACATAGGTCCTTATAATGTGTTCTTATAAAAGCAGGACATATCTGTTGTCCATTCTCCACCTACTGTGGAAGAACTCCAGTCAAATAGAGGAAAATATGCTCTTGACATTTTGTCTTTAGTTATGTTACATGTCATAAGTGGAATGTAGACTGCCAACAGGTCACGTTAAACCATAACAAAGGGAAGTGAGGCCATTGTACACATCAAAGTGCATACAGTTCACATGAGAAGGCATGTGTTTATGAACCATTTTGGGTTGATAGGAATAGCTGCTTTCCAGTAATTCCGTCTGCATTTTTAGCTCATCTGACATAGTCAGATCCAGAGAGACCGGGTACAAGATGGCGTTGCGCAAAAGATGCGTGCGTGCAATGGCGTGCGCTCCAGTGCGTCAACGAGTTGGGTCCACGGATATTCGGGACGTGGGGGGGGTAATCCGAAAACTGAGTTTTGGGATGTCGTAAGCTGGGGGTCACAAGTCATATACGGTCAAGTGAGGTGTGATAAAAGGAAGGGGAAGCATTCCCTCCTTAACTTAAGGTATAGGGAGGAAATGCAGAATTGCGGGCACAAATTGCTAAGACGGCCCGACCTAGGCTCGTGGTATCGTGTATAGGCATCAATGGTAGAAAAGCCATCACTTTGTGCCGAATTGGGAGTCGGAGTCAAATGGGACCACATAGTCGGTTTGCCGTGCCCTATATCTCTCTAGTACGTGGTTGATCTCCTGACATATGTTAATTACTTGAACTTTTTTCATGGAAATGTGTTCTATTATATTATGGAGAGCTGATGCTGATGGGTTGCTGAGCCTGTGCAAACGGTGAGGTCATTTCTGTGAATTACCAAGATGGGCCGCGCGTCCCCCCCCCCGTCTGATCTTGTGATTTTGGTCAATTTACAATTTGCTGATCTCGGATGCGCCTAGATGTCCTGCCCCAGTGCCATCTTTTAGCGGGTTTCGAGGGCAGGGAGTCCATTTTTTAGGGGCAGTTATGTTTTTAGATCTGGGGTCAAGTGGTCGAAGGTCCAAACCTGACGGTGCATCGGTGCAAAATAAGAACTTTATAATCGTATTCACTGTTGCAATGAGATAGTTAGATATAGGCTGACAACTACGACTGTGAAACATGTACAAGACCCAATGGGATGAACACGACGCCACACATGGTCTGATTCACCTCAGCACCTGCCGGCATCATCGAGACAGTGGAAAATTGGTGTGGAGGCAGCTCACGAGATCCCCAATTAAGTCAAGAAACACGAGGCCATTCTGCTATCGAGCAACTGTCATAGCCAATCAGGCTATTCCAGCATGACGCAGCACTACATCAGGACTTCCAAGGGCCTGAATCCACCCTCTGATTGCCAATGAAAAGCTCTGTCTCGCAGCAAGAGTCCACAGCTCTCCGCTAGAGTGAGTTTCAGTCAGGCAAGCGGAGGACCTAGCGCTGGCTCGTCGGCAAGTCGCGATGAGAGTGAGCAGCCTGTCGACGTGGCGGGCTTTCAATGCTCGCAGATCGACTAGTGGCGGGGCTCTGCCCATAATCGCCAAGACACTGGTGGTGTTTTGCAACGGCGATGATCAGTCACCACCTGCTCATCGAGAACGCAGACACCGGTTCTGACTAGACTCGCTGTATCTCGAGAGGGACTCTCCAAAAATCTTTCGGGATGGCAGTACACTCACACCGCTCTCATGTTGATCTCCAGACTATATCAGACTGCATGCCTAGTCCAATGGAAAGACCCTCAGCGCTGGATACCAAATCTTATACTTCACCTCGGAGCATGGATGCACACTCTCATGAGTTTCCTGGGCTGTAAGGGACACATGAGATGAATGGGCATCTGGCGCTGGACGTTCGTCATGAGCGCAGCGTTTGTGGCATTGACCAGACATCATCAGCCAGGGGTTAGTAAGAATCTGAACAAAGGCTCTAACGCATACCCATCTCATCGATGCGGCCGTGTTGCTTAGAGAGTTTCTACTCAAATGGTGCCCAAGAACTACCAAGAGCTGAGTGACACCGTGGAGAGCAGCCCCAGATAAACCCCCCAACTGGGCAGGCTAGGGTGGACTGTCGTCACAAGCCGACCCTGCTGGACGCTCATGTAATCCTGCGTGGAGAGACGGAATGGTGACTTTCGTCCCCTCCAGCAGCGACTGTTCCTCCAGGGCAAGCTTAGCCGTATTTCTTACGAGCAGGCAGGTCCACGCACGTAAAATTATGTCCCGCTACAGTGAGGCTGGTAATGTGCGACAGATGAAGGCAGAGCCTTCGCCGAGCGGCCCGGGAGGATCTACTGGCAGGCGCAACATGTCTGTCGGCGATTATCTGATGGCGGGACCGCAGGTTCGCAGCAGATCAGATCGGCGAACAGACATCTATCAGCGAGGGGAAGGGTGCTGGAGTATGAAGGGCATATTTGACCAGATCGGCCGAGCAGTTGGACTGTGTGGGTCAACAGGTTTCAGTGTGTGTCGCCACCAAAGACCGACATGCCATGGAAAGATATGTACAGTGGAATGCTGGGGATGAGGAGATAGCACACGTGGTCGAGGGAATAGAGAGGAGAAGAAACAAGCAAAAGAGGAAGTGAGAGGGAAGAAGAATGAACTGGATGATGTGCGATCGAGAAGATTCGGAGCAGGAGCTGGAGAGTAAGTCGAACTCACCCCCTCAAACGACAGCATCCAGGTCTCTATATGACATCTGCAATGGCCAAGTGCGGCCCGATCACAGTGAATGTTCAGGGATGCACTGACTATCGGGAGTGAGGCAAAGCGAAGCAGTTTTCCGCTTGCAACTAAGAGTGACTTCCACAAAACCATAATGAGAAAAATGGGTCAGATGCAATGGAGGCAGCTCAAGAGAGCCCGTCACTGTCGAAGGGGAAGGCCATCTACGACAACGAGATCATGAGCTGTTTAGATCGGCTGTTGGTCTGGGGCAGCAGCGAGAGGGCGTGGATACTATCCAAGCCATTCTTCCAGTTTGAACTCGAGTCCAGTCGCCAACATCCCTGATGATGAGTATGGATGTTGAGGAAGGGCAACAAGTGCACGTAGCTCGTCAAGTGTCTCGGTGTTTCTGTCAAGACTCCCCTGCGTCCATGACTCGTGGTGTTGGTTGAAACGCCGGTCAGTCTGCTGTAACCACGTTGTGTGCCGAGTAATCGCTGGGACCGCAATGATCTGGCTAGCAGCTTCTGTGCGACTGGCCCACTACCCCACTGGTCAAGAAAATAGTCCTTTCGACAGGTACTGATCCAAGGCTCCTAGCGCAAAAGGAGCAATGAGCAGATGAGAAGAGGAAGAGCAAGGAAGTGCGGCTGACCCAAAAGCACACCTTCTCATGCGACGCAAGCATTCTTTACCAATGCCAAACGAACAGAGTCTGCTCAACAACATCATATGCGGGCCTATCTCTTCCTCACAACATCCATAGACTGTCAGCAAGCTGGATCTCGTGTCGTCACCCATGCTGAGGCAGACATACTCTTCTGCAGCTACATGCTGAGGCCGCAGCAGAAGATGCCCAGACACAGCCGCATCCTCAGGTGATGACACATGACGTCTTCGTCCTCTCTGTGTACTGGACATCAAGGATGCGGGTCATGTGCCAAGGATTCAAGATGGAAACAGAGTGAAGTGGTGGATGCTCCTGGATATCACAAAACTGTTGAGCGGCGTTGGCCCAGAAAAGTGCAGCCAGCTTTCTCGGTGTCCATGGCGGCTGTCAGGACTGGCGGATACGGTGTCCGTACCTCTTCAGGAAAAGGAAAACAGTCAGCCACTCAGCTCGCTGGGGATTGATATACGCAGGTCTGGAATCAAGTGCTTGGAGAGCTTGGCGGGCGACGCTGCTCAACTACAGCGACAGGCAAGAACAGCTTCTTCTTCCACTCTCTAGCGGACATAGAAAAGTTGTACGACAATGAATTGTGCACGTACTCCGCCTCTCCGCAGGCCATGAAGAAGCCGCCACAATGTAAGAAACTGCCTAATCAGACTGACGTCACGATACTGCAGCTCATGTTGCTCTCGACTCACCTTCTCAGATGCTACTGTGGAAGGTCAGCAAACCAACGTGACGCCACGCTGAAGAAGCTCTACATTATACTCAAGTCTAAGGAAACTTGGTTGTGGAAGTATCAAAGGCTCCGACCATCCACATACACACCGCCATTCAAAGCGCCAGTTTGCTCCCCAGCGCTCCTGGATGTGAGTGAGCTGCGAGCTGGCAAGCGGCGAGAGGGCAAGGCATGCAGGCGGGGTAACGTTGCAGCTGCCAACCGTGCAAGGCCTTTCATGTCACAGACTTATTGGCAAGGTGCGAGGGAGCGAGTACGGGGCTGTTGTAGTCGAATCAATGAAAAAGATGGACAGGAAGCCGAAGACAAGTGAAGGAGGAGCTTAGGTGTATGATGACGACAATGGGACGAATGAATGATGATGGCGGATTGAGATAATGAGGATGAGGAGTCATAGAGGAATTGTGACAACACTGGTTTATTGTGTGACTGATTTAAGGCTGTTTGCTTATTTTCTCGTTTGAATTTACATTAAGTGTCTTCATTTTGACCGTGTGACGCTTTGTTTTTGACCTTGACTTTAGACCGCCGACTTCTAATAACAATAATCGTCCAGACAATGGACTCCCTGCCGCTCGAAAACGCCCTAAAATAATATGGTATTCGCAGACACTACAGCATCGGAGATAAAATTGTAAATTGGACAACAGAAATCCAAGATGGACGGCGGCGGACGCATCTTGAATTCCAGAAATGCCACGATGCCACAGGTAGCCAACAAGCTAATATCAAGCTCTCGCTAACTATAATAGAACACATTTCCATGAAAAAAGTTCACGAGTAATTAACATTGCAGTGTCAAACATTTTGGCAACGTGGACTAAGCGGGGCAATTTTAGACATTTTCTGCAAGGTAAAGGCATTTCTATGGAACCACGGTCTGACGGAGCGATTGAAAACCTTTTAAAGAGAGACTTCGAACAGGTGACCTAGCATTTTTACTGGGCTTTATTTGAAAGGACCATGGAATGTACGTTTCTGCTGACAATGTGAACGAGAATTGTCTGGATAACCTTTTGACCCGTCAAAGAGGTATAGGGTTAACATGGATTTGTTACTGGTTAGAAAGAATTTGTTCTGGCCGGGGTTTGGCTATCAGAATCTATACCATGGCCGTGGATGTATAAGGCTACAAATGTCACAGTGAAATTTCAAAGGCTAAATTGGTTGAAGAAGGTTATTAGCTCCTTAAATCGTATAATTTCTATTGCATAGCCATTCTGTACTGTCAGTGTGTTACATGTAACTTATGCCACTGCCAGTGCATGTAGTGGTGATAGTACTGTGTAGTTTTTGCCTGCGTTAATTAGTTACAGGTGGCAGCTCTCTATTTCGGCCTGTAGGCTTGCGTAGGTATAATGGCATGAGTGCTTACCTATTCTGTCTTGCAAATAGTTGTTGCTACTATGTATGATGGCAGGCTTCCAATCTTTTAATCTTAAGGACACTTAAACGTACGCGCCATCTCCGTGGCAACTTTCATAACGATCCAACGAACATTCCTTTGGAAGGTTCCTGATACCATCCTGTGCCTTCCACTGTTTCGGCGCATATGTGAACACATTTGGGACTAACAGGGTTTACTAGAACCCACACTCCACCACAGAAGTCATCAGCGAGTACGACTTAGATGAGCGGGCTGTCGCTCCGCGGCACTTGTTTGTTATCATGCTCGATTCTTTATTAACTGTTCATTCGGGTGTATAGGTACCTTCCAGGTTCCCATTCCAAGTCGAATACCAGCGAACTCACCACTTCTAGAACCTTTTGTAAACAAGTAAGTCTGATATCAGTCACAATGCTTGCCTTTTTCATGTGAGCTTCTCACTGAATTAACAATTTCTCCCTCGCATCCTATCGGTTTTTCCACTGCTGTTATGGCAAGAGTCGTGTTATCTGTATCGGGTAATTTTTCGCCTGATGGTTGCCCAATGATTAGCAACGATGCCCCAGTATGACAGTGTACCTAGCTGTCTTTGTTGGCTTTACTTGTGGATGACGTGCACCTCTAACGTGTTGCTTCTTGCAGGCTCTATGTGATGATGGTGGTCGACATACCCTACATGAATCTCGTCGGAGCTGACCTGAAGCCAAACCGTGATCACGTGTTTCATGTCAGCTTCCCTGCCTCCTGGAGAACATCCGACATTGTTCAGCTATTCAGTGCATTTGGTAAGGAACAAATCGGACATTCGCTATTGGAAGGTTGGATAGGGAACCTCAAAACTCAATTAACAGTAAATACAGTACAGTTTTTAATAAATATTTTAATTTCTATATAATTCATTGATTAAATTACATGCCGAAAACCAAGAGGCTTAATATTTAGTATATAAACTCGAGGTAAAATGAAATTCACTCATACTAACGTCAAATTCTAGATAGTAGTCAGGCATGCTAGGCAAGCAGTCCCGACTGACTGTAAAAAATATTGTGTTTCATGCTAACGTTAAAATATGTGGCAGATTTAGGCCCCATTACCATCTTCCTATAGACGATAATTACTGTATCTAGTCACTTACTGTGCAGTGTTAAGATGCAAGAGTAAAGGGATTGCAGGGAAAATACTTTAGTGTTATTGGTCAAACTTAGTTTAGTGGTCATCTCTATAGAATGAAAACCTGCCTATATTTGACCTTGGGGGGGGGGGTTCTGATGACTGACACTTTTATACAGGTTTGACTGGCAAAAAGAAGATTCAATTCATTAGCATAATATGAGTGCTATCTGCTTATTTCTGGTAAACGTTATTACGTGGACTGCAATCATCAGTACTGCATTCCAAAGTCAACTGCCTTGATTGAAAAGGGCAATGCTGGCTCACCTAACGGGCAATAACTGCAAAATAAACCTGAGAGAATTTGACAAAACTTCGTTTTGTGCATGTGGTGATACTGAACTTGCAGAATGGTGGTCATGTTTGACACTTGTTTCAGGCCACGTGTACATTGCATGGATCAATGACACGTCCGCACTAGTTGGGTTGAACTACAAGGACAATGCTGGCCTAGGTAAGCATGACGAATTAAGCGAATGATGACATAAATGGAATGCATTTAGTCTTAATGTTTTTAAAATCTGCATTACACCAGCATTAACTGACAAAAGTGAGCATAGGGATTTTCATATAGTACTTGTATGCATATATGTGCACACATCCGTGTGCAGAGAGATTGTATTTCTGTGTAGGTTAATAATTTGTTTTCTTGGTATTTCATTTATGAGTGTAACACAACTGACGTACAGAAGCAGTACTTTATGGAAATCATCAAATGTACTGCAATATTCACTTACAAGTGTCAGTGATGTCACGATATTTCATTGCAAGTGTCATAGTTTCCGAACCTGCGTTCATGGTTGCAGTTATGAAGACGATAGGTGAGGGTGAGAGTTACAAAATACAGACCTACAAAGATTACTGTCAAACAACTCAGGTCATATGTCAGACCACAGCTGTACTTAAGAGGAAAGTTGATGGGTCGCCTCCTGTAAAGAGCCCTCGTCCACCCAAGAAACGTAAATCGTCAGGGTAAGTCACGATTTAACGAGTGTGCAGCCCATCCTACTTGTATATCTTTCAATCTGCAATTATTTCTACACCATTAGATCCTGGTTATTCTTTTCTAAGTTTTCACTTCATACTGACCATTCTTCATGTTCATGGCAGAATAACGTGATGTATTGGTTGCTGTTGCAGGATATTAAACCCTGACCTCCCACCGACTATTCCCGAAGAGCAAGAAGAGACTGAGCATGAAGATCTAGGTAGGATCTTGCAAGGCTGTTAAAATAATAATATTAACTTAATAGAGCCAGCAAATTGTGGAGTCAGTGTATAGAACATCGCTGTGTGTGGTAAAGGTATAGATGGGTTATGAATTCATGGAGAAGAGTTTTCGAGCATTAATGAGCATTATGAGTATTTTAAGGGTTGGCTTTCAAATCTTCTGTGTCGGCATTTTGCTTATCCAAATGTGTAGGTACAATACCAGTACAAGTTTTTGCACCCCTAGTGCAGTACAGCATTATAGTGAACCACTATATCACTCAGCGTATGCCAATGCTTGTTATGTGATCAACTCTGGACAATGACAATGCTAATGATGGTGTAAAGTGGAAGCCCAGACCTTTTTAAAATTAACAGTTTCGGATACCGTAATCGACTCGAATCTATATATGAATAGGGTTACCAAACAGTTTGCGCATGCGATGCTTAACTATAACGCTGCACGTGGTGATGGGCTAGGGTTAAGTTACATGCACATGCCGCGTGTGCAATACTTTGGTATACGGCTACATCTGGTGCAGGGACATGATCACGCTAAAGCTAAATGTTGTGTATGCAGCGACCACAAACATGGAAACCTGAATGCATGCATATGTAGAGCTAGCCTGGAGTAAAATGATACATGTTATTAACGTTATTACTGCTGATCTACTCATACTCCTAATCTAACCGCAAATGTAGAGCTAGCATGGCAGTTCTAACCGTAGAACTAGCTGCCAATGTAGAAGTAGCTACTAACAAAATGGCTAACAAGTATTTTAGAAGGTGCTGATGCACGTCTGCTAATTGTCATTTTGTTTAGTGTCATATCAGTTAACGATATAGACTAGCCTGATGTCTGTTTGCTATGATAGTAGAAACTATATATTTCTTAACAAGCACAAATGCCACGAACTTGTGTAAATTTATGTAGGTTTATGATAATACTCATAGAGTTGAGGTTTGAGTACAAAAGCAGTGGCAGACATTATGGAATATGTATGTTAAAACATTATGGCCAAAATTTGTCTATTTTCAATGAGGATAGTAACAATGCAATTTAATATGCCATAACCTGCTTTTAGCTTGTTTGATCTTTAGTAGTCTCTACCTCCCTCCCACTCTCCCTCTATCTCCCTCCATCCCTTCCTCCCTTCCTCCCTCCCCCTCTCTTTCTTATCCTCTCTCTCCCTCCCTCACTCTCTCTCCCTCTCTCTGTCTCTCGCTCGCTCTCTCTCTCTCCTCTCATCATCTCTCTCTCTCTCTCTTCTCTCTCTCTTCTCTTCTGTCTCGCTCTCTCGGCTCTTCTCTCTCTCTCTCTCTCTCTCTCTCTCTTCTCTCTCTCCTCTCTCTCTCTCTCTCTCTCACTCTCTCTCCCCCTTTTTTGATTTGGCCTGATCTTGGTTTCTCTGTGAGTAACGATTAGAAAACAACGTTTTTCCTTCTATGTCTAACCACATCAATGCAGCAGCTTACGTTAGGCAATTTAGAGCCAGTTTCTACATTTGCAGGCGCCGCCCTCTGGGGGCAGCCCTTAGGCAAGGCACGTCCCGCATTCGCGAAAGCTCTGTTGTGCTTGCTGCATTTGCGGGCAGTCGTTTCCATGATTGTGGTCAAGTTTCTGCACTTGTGGGTGGTGCTACGTTTGTGGGTGCGGCACATCTGCCCAAGCACCCACAAGACGTGCTCGGTGCGAGCAAATAATAGGTGAGGTGGGTAAGGGTTGGGTAAATTGACGGATTTTTGATGGAAGGGGTGGAGAATATTAGTTGGGTGGGACGGTGGATGCTAAGTAAGATGGTTGGTTGGAGCAGGTTAAATGGGCAAGGTGGTGGTTGTCACGCAGGTGTGGCCAAAGGATCTAAAGTAGATCGAAGTAAGAAAATGCTGGGCAGATAGATAGTGTCAGACAGACTAGGGCACGGGAGGGGGATGCCACATGCTACAAAACTACTTTGATTAATAAAACTCAATTTAAACTACAAGAAAATAGAAGCAGGCATAGAAAAGCTACTAGTTCGGTTCATCAATCACAAGTTTGCAGAGCGTGCCATATTGATGTTTTGCATTCGCTGGTTTTGTGAGTGGTCTAACAAAATCAATGCAAAGAAGCATGGGCGGTAAACTTTGTTGATACTATCGATATCTGTGAATGTGAAATCGTGTCTGAAAACTTCCTGTAACACTGTCAGTCATGCTGCTCGGTTAAAAGAGCGCACACGTGGGCAATGGCAGATATGCACTTAGCAAATGTTTGGTAACGACATGAAGTGCACGAGAGACAGTGTTTAGCCTTGCGTTTATCACTCGCGTGTCTGATTTCTTTCTCTCCGTCACAGTTGCTTTATTGACATTTGTGTTTAACAGGCGAGCCACTCACAAAAAAGCTGCGAGAAAGTACAACTGATGGGGTGGTTGCAGATATAGGTAAGCAGGGTTTTGCTTAGCCATACTATACACGATTCACCTTTTCCTGGAATCGTATGCTTGACTCATTGTGTACACCTTGGTCTGTGTAGAGCGTCAGACTACCATAAGTCTTGCACTCGTCTTTTATCTTTGGAGTCGCAAGTTCGCACCTGTGAGTCAAGTCATAGCAAGATGTCATAATGCTATTGGGTGGGGAGTAGGGTGCACTGTTACGGGGAGGGGCGATAAGGTTAGGGATAAGGTTCAGATACCCCTTACTTTACACCCCCCGTAACCTGCCCTTAACCAAACGCAGTATGAAATCTTTGGGTCTGCAGCTCACGGCCGATTTCATTCTGTTCATTCTACAATCACAGACAAATCATATCACCGTGACACATTTCACTACATTAGTGTGCGTCATAATAAATATTAAACATATAGTTGCACGCCTGCGCATAAACGTGGATGGTCTACTTACCACTTTCTACATTAAGCTGTGCATAGATTTGCTCTCTGTTGGCATCATTTTTTCATGCTTGTTTCAGAACTTTATTAACAGTAATTATTAAGTAATAATGTTACTGTTTGCTATCAGTCTCGTTTTTGAAAGGAAAGCCAGGAAAACTCGTTTTCCGAGAATATTCCCTCGAAGTGCTATGAAGTGTTCTAAATGATCAAGAAGAATATCTAGATTTTTGATTATTACCAGTAAACTAGAAGCCAATGTACATCCTCGCGCTATGCTGTCCACCGTTACGCTGGCAGATTGATTGACGTGGGCCTATCGTTTGGCTTGCACTTGCAGAGTGCACTTCGCAGAATGAAAGGCGCATCAAATTACATCCAATTCGTGCCAACAGATGGCACCCCATGTCTGGCAGTAGCCAGTTGTTGCAGAATGTCTTCCAGCTGGAACAGGGCCAGTAGTGAATGCGACACTGCCAGGTATCTCGTTTTCTCAGAAACTGCGATGAGGCATAAGCTAAACGCAAATACCTTGTGCAGTTGTCCTTAGTGGATCAATGTCAAGTAACCGAAATTGACTAAGCCCTAAAGGAGTAGATTAATAAACATTCTGATACTCAGAGCTGATATTAACCTGAAATTTGCAATTTTTTTTTGATCAGATAACGAATGACTCACAAATGAAATATTCTCTTTACCATGCAGGCTACTGATATGGCTGACTTAACATTCACCTTATTCTTATTTAGCTTTGTTAACAGTAGGAATTTTTATTAATTCGATGTGCTTCATGAGTGGATCTGCATCAACAATGGCAGGAGATTTTATAGAATGTCGCTCATGCGTGATATCTTGTTGGGCATAGTCCAATGGTGCAAACGTTTGAAAGTGAATGCTTATCTAGTTTATGACTGTACTTTATGAGTATTTCACCTAATTGAGACATATAGTAACACGAAATATATTCACCGTGATTATGTAACATGATCAGTAATGCTAACATAACAACATATAACCAGAGCTGTGGCACTGTTCGTCCTTAATCTTCTCTGCTAGATGTATTATTACCTGCCTCTGTGACTCACAGTGTAATTTTACTATGTGTCTATCATAACTGTATCCTACTATACTTTCTGCCAACTTGAAAATAGAATTTTCTATGAAAGTCCTTTGATAACATAAGCTCGCTGCTTACTCGTCAACCTTGTCACTATTTTTAGTAAACACATGGCACTTGTTCTAATATTACTAACTTTTCTTTCATTACCTGTGAAAAATCGACGATGATGTATATATATACAAGGTGACATGTTAATAAAATAGATGGGGTAAAAAAGAACCGACGTAAAGTAAATGTCACAATTCAGGCAATGTCTTTCATCAGCACATTAGGTATGTGGACATTTTTACTAAATAAGGAAAACCTCTTGTGTAAAGTGTAAAAACTTTGCTTGCAATTGGCAAAAACGTGAGCTTATGAGACAGGATACGTTTTTGGAATTCCTGTAAAAAGCCAACGACATTTGACAGCTCTAATATATGACAAGGCAAATTTTCGACACGTTACTCCATCATGTTCATGTGACGCCGTTTCGGTTTTCCGCAATTTTGCGTGAAATTCACTGTCCGTTAAGTTTACGGTTGCCAAGAGGCGGGTCAGAGCCATGAGAACAGGTCACTGCTCCGTGGGCGTGTCTGACAGCAAACATTCCCGATTTTTCGACATGCTTCACGCCTCATACATTGACCCTGTCGCTAGTCATAAAAAAAACCTGCTTCGTGGCATTAGTTATCTTGGGCATCGCCTGAAGTTGCATTCCGCAATGATTAACAAAAATGTAATGACAAAACTATTAGAATACCACCCTACCACTGCACCAGTCTGCTTTGAAAACAGATGCTGCCTTTGAGCCAAATTTCAAACACCCGTCCACTTGTTTGCAATTAATCGAAAATAATTGCAAAAGCACGTCCAATTTCTGTGGTCGCCGTATAAAAAAGATTGACCCACCAGTAATTCGAAAATAATTATTATAAGCTGTAGCCATTTTTTGCCAGGAGGATTACAAGAGTTATAACCAGCGTGATCGCTTAAAAATAGAATCACTCACTGACTGTGTATTCTCAATGCGAATCTAGATTGTAAGGTGCCTTTGCCTAGCACCGTGTTGAATTCAGTGGACTACACTATCCAAGTGGGAACGGGCTTTTAAAAGAATCGACAATTAAAAACGATGTCCTATTTTCAGTATTTTGTATGCGTCAGCGTTTGTAGGTTCATGGAGGCTTGTAGTAAAGTGTTGTAATCTAGTGGTACCGCATCAATTTGTACGTGTATAACCCTTTGTGTTTGTATCCGTTTTGGGCTTTTGGCTTTAATAGATGCAAACCACGTTGTCACCGTGATACAGGACGCACATGTACCATTGGAATTTTCTTTTGTGCTATCAAATGTGAAGAGCCATGCGATATAATCCGGGTAACCAGCATAGAACATGACATAGCGTCGGAGAAGGGAGGGTGAAGAGACAGGCAGGCTACACTTGTGTCGGCTATAAGTACTAGACGGGATAGACAGACAATTGTCGGCTATGGTTGCCATTATGAGCGTCTCTAGACAAGCGTGGTTTATTATGTCAAGGTGATCGCGCCCACCAGCGGCGACTAGACGTGTGCTGCACCGTGGGTCAACGCACTGGCTGTCATTCATGCATGGCTTGCTGTAGTAACGCATGGCAACCGGCACAACAAGCACCTGCGACGATGGCCATAGTGATTTACAAATAATTTCATGGTCCTACCCAGCCGAGGACGGTTCCCTTGAAGTGCGTTGGCCTAGTGCTGATGCCTGGGGCCCTATGGCGGGCCTGTCCTTAATGATTCTCTGTAAAAAAAGGTTAGAGACCTGGGTGTCTGGCCATCGAGGCTATATGAAGTGGGCACCAAAATGCTGCTCTGTTCTTGCGTGCATTCCTTTGTTTCCATGCGACGATGTCTTTTGCCATGGGTAAAGAACTGTTTTATTGCTAGTACTCGAATGCATAAGCCATTGTGGCTTGATGATGGACATTTTTTCATTTCTGATTTTTGGAAGTTGTGCCATCCATTGTGTACATCTTTAACACAGTTAATGGCGCGATTGTGCTAAAATGACATAGGCCTGTAAACTGGTGTTCATGTAGCCGGTCCCTCCCAAACTCGTGCATTATGATAGTGATGACAGTTAGTGGCGTCTGCAGAAGTCTGTGAAACGTCTCTGTCACCAAGACTGTGTTGAAAAAAAAATGTTGCACAACTGCAAGCAGGCAGAAGTACGTGCATCTCTCAAAGATTTAATTACGTTTAGCTCTTACCATCAATGTAAACGACAACAGGTGATTTAGTAGCATGAATTTAGCACATGCCATGTTTACCTTCAATAGTCAGTAATTTATTAGGATCAATTAGGGAAGATTTACGGTTCTGGGTTTTCTCGCGTGGTAGCAGCACACACGCGTAACTAATATCTTTTCTATTTCCTTGATGACCATTATAGATCTGTTGTTCTCTTTTGTCTTGTTTCCACCATCTGTCTTGTTTTGCTGGTGATATGTGATATTTGATTCGCTCAATTGATGATGTCAATTATCTCTTATTGTCGTCGTGGTTGTTGTTTTTTTGTTGTTGTTCTATATTTTAGCTTCACCGTTCGTTTAGTTAAACAGATGATATCTAATAGGTAATTTTCTTTGACATAGCGTGAGTGCATTTAATGGTTTACGTGCAGTTCAATTTGCAACAATTTTAATAACTTTGAGAAGATTCATTTAACGTTGGAACTGTTATAGTTAGTTATATGTGAAAACTTAACATGACTTTTTAGTGATGAAGTCTTCAATACCTACAACCTGCTTAGTGTTAGAAAAATCATTCTCCTGCGTTATTCATCTGGTATATTACTCTCTCGATATCGTTTCACATTGCATTATTATCATAAAAAAAGAAGTTTTTTTCCATATTTCAATTATCTAGATACATTACCTGTGCAGTTTTGTCTATTTTTAAATCATGTCGGTGTGGCATAACCTCTCACAACTACGCCAAATTAAATCAGGCATGCTTTACTTTTCTCGTTTTAGCGAATGGGTCTTCTAAAGGTGACTGCCAGTTGTTCAGTGTTCCAGATACGTGGTAGAGTGAGCATGTTGCAGGTCTATCCAGTGATCTCCGCCCTGTCTGTCTGGGGACAAGGGAGAAAGCACCTCCATCACCTTTGGGAGAGTAACAAAGAGTATGTGGCATTCTGTGTAGGAAAGGATTGCCTGTTGCAGTGTGGTGCTATTTTGATTTGAAAATTATAAAAGAGGGGCCATTGTCACCGTCAAAATTGGAATAAAACAAGTACATTGGAGGGGGGGGGCGACTCCCGCAGTGGCCTAGACCTGTGCGCCGAGTAATAGAATTACCTGACAGGTCAAACACGTATGTGAAACGTCAGTAGTACATTACAGTTATCATCTGCATTGTTGAGAATGCTGGGTAATAGCTGTTGTTTCCTGGAGAAGTTTCAGGTCAAAGAATCATGAATCATCACTAATAACATCGCTACCTTCATTACATGGTTGATGCATTTGTTTTTGAGTCATTCTTTCCTCAAAAGTTGAGCAAATCTGTTTTGTTGCAGTCGCGTTTCTCTTGTATGGAATTTAGATAACACTGTGGTTGTGGAGGCGTTCACAGACTTCATCGTTGCATTTGGCAGGGTTAAAACCTTTAGAAGGTCAGTGGCAATATTTTGTAGATTTGTTAGTGTCAACAACAATCCACAGATCAGGTTTGAGTGGTAAAGGGTGAATGTTGCCGTTTTTGCTCGTGGCGATAGGAAAAAGCAAGCACAGACTGTGATTGCAGACTTAGTGTATCTCGGTTTGCTTACAGTAGCCGCCTGAGTGTAACAAAATCACGTTGCCACGAACGTATCTATACTATTATAGATATGTAGCTATGTTCATGGTATTACACTAGACCCTTTATCTCCAACAATTGCCATACATTGACGGTTTTTGGCCAAGTGTGCTAAACCCGAATCATATTGGTTTTTGAATTCACCATGTGTAAGCACTAAGCAGTGTATAGATCTGTTGTACATGAAGTCGATGTAACTCCGATTGTGTTGCCAGGGTGACTGGGGCAAAATGTCTATTGAAATAAACGTAAAAGGGACTCTCTTGTCCGTTAGAATTTCTACTTTTTGTATATCTTAATAATGATATTATAGTCTATAATTATTAATAGCTTTATAATATGATGTAACATTACTAAGAGTGAATGTGAAACTAATGCCATTATGTTGCATTGCAGTGACGTGTCCGTGAAAAAAGAATATACATACATACATATATATATATATTTCCTAACGTATTTATTATGTTCAATTCGTATATACATACACCCATATTCTCGAAAGCAACTACGCACGCAACAGCACTACAGCATATAGGAACAAATACTTTTCATTCCTGATCCGTGACCATGCGCGTGTGTAGTCGTCTAGTGCTCGTGATCTCTCGTCGCGTAGGACCTATTCTAAATTACCTGACTTTCAGGACTTGAAATAGCGTAATATAGCTAGGTAGGCCTACATAGGTGGACCGGTGCACGAAGGAGACAAAAACACCCTTGCAAGTGCATATGCTAGTAAAAAGGATGTCTTGACAGTCGCACTGCCTACAATCATTGCTACAACTTAAGTACGATATTATGCATTAACTTCAACATGAATTGTAATTTCTATTTCGGGGCTAAAGAGTGCAAACTCACGCATGCATGCTTACAACAACATTTAACGATATTTAAAAGCATCCGTTGGTCACCATAAATTGACAACTGATTGAGGTTTGCTTATTGACTTCTTGGTGATCCGTTAATGAAATACCTATGTGAAGCGGTTTCGACAAAAAGGATGCGGTGATACACTATATTTTCGGGAAATTTCGAATGTATCCCGTCTTTCGTAACGGTTGTTGATGTATCTATGTTGGCAGACGTCTGTCGCGAACGACAATGTCATTCGCGACATTTCCGTCATTTTCGTGGTTGATGTACAGTCGATTATAAAAATACTAACAAAACTGACACGATAACCGTACCGTAGCCCATAACGAATTACGTCGGTTATATCTATATCTCTCGCTACCCTACAGCAAAAAAAGGTCAACATTATACCTCGACAATCTTACCTGATCTGAATATTGTCCTTTAAAAAAGTCAACGGTAATTTCTTTCTCTCTCTCTCTCTCTCTCTCTCTCTCTCTCTCTCTCTCTCTCTCTCTCTCTCTCTCTCTCTCTCTCCATTTCTCTTGTTCTGTCTATCTCTTTCTCACCCTCTTTGTAAAAAAAACTACTGTTGTATTAAATACGAATCCGCATCAGGGATGAAAAGTCTCTTGGTCGTCTCGTCGAGTTTGCTCAGTTAGAAAGGGAGAAGACGGGCCAGTAGATGTGTTTTTTACTCCACTGCTCCGAAAACTCTCGGCCCACTTGAGCTATCGCATGCGAACTGATGCTATATGGCACTTCCAACGCCATTCTTCTCGTCATCTCCGCGTCACTTGTGCAGCGTTAACGACGGCTCGCGGCCAGCGATTTTTTTTTCCTACGCGTTATATCCATTGGGCTTGATATACGCATATGGACAATGGATATAACGTGTAGG